GGGGGTGTGTGTGGAAATAACGGGGACAGAGCTGGCTGCTGTCAGACGATCAGCTGTGCAGCGTCATCACAAACGGACGTCGCTTCACGTGACGCTCCGGAGGAAAGGACGTCCCATTGCTCTTAAAACTAATTTCCCTGCTTCTCGTGGTTTCCTTGCATCCCTCCATGCTTCCCTAGTGGGAGGGACTAGTCACAGGGAAACGACGCAAGTGAGGGACGCAAGGAATCCATTTAACCGAAGTGAGAAAGGCCCCTAGAGAGTTCTCATGAACTACGTTCTCATGAACCTTTGTGGGAAAAGTACTGCGGTGTGAACGCGCCTAATGGCTAATGCTATCTCCTTCTTTAAAAACAGGCTTTAATAAACCTAAAGTATGTCTTTGTGTTCTTCTTCTTCTCCTTCTTTTTCTTCTTCTTCTTCTTCTTCTTCTTCTTCTTCTTCTTCTTCTTCTTCTTCTTCTTCTTCTTCTTCTTCTGGCAGCTCCTAAACTTCCTCTCAGGTGAAGCTACCAATACGCTACCAATACGTTGTTTGTTCTGTAGTTAATTACAAAGTGTACTTTGCACAAGTTTTTATTAGACCATTTTTTTTAGTAAATCGATTATTTACACAATGAAGCACTTTATTTGAAGTATATGTACAATTGTTAAATATGTAAAAAAGTGTTTTTGCAGACTTGAGTCAGTGTGAGCATTATGACCGCTTGAAGGTTGGTGTTGTGTGAGCTCCAACTGTGTGAAGAATTAAAATAGCCTCCCATCAGCATGCTGGCATTGAACAGTGGAACAGCCCCTTTTAACCAGTCCCCATGTTAACCACACGTACACACACATTCTCACACACACACACACACACACACACACACACACACACACACACACACACACACACACACACACACACGCACGCACACACACACACGCACGCATGCACACACACACACGCCCACACACACTTTCCACATACTTGAGATTCAGTGGCTCCCCTCTCTTTCATGTTCTCATTAAACCTCGTTGAGCTCATTTTGGCTTTATGGGCACTTTCAGGGATGGAAAGGGTCCTCAGATCCTTTGCTTAGGTAACGTTAGAAGTAATATTGCCTTAAAATACACAAGTAAAAGTCCTGAATTGAGTGAAGAATTGAAAATCTTCAGTACAAGCATAATGAGAAAAATGTACCTCAAGTATCAAAAGTAAAAGTACTTGGCTGCATACCTGCTTTTTTTCTACAGTATTATATTATCATATAGTATATTCAACCGTTTATATCAATAACAAAAACATGTCACATACTTTTTATGTTGTAGTGTGTCAATGTTGAGACCATTATTTAACAATTAACTGTGTAAAACACTGGTTAGATAAGTTGTATCATGTTGTCATATGTAAAAGTAACGATGACTGAATGAAGAACAACATTTGCCTTCAAAATATAGTGGAGTATGTATAACATTGGAAACACTCGATTAAAGTTAATGTAATAATAATAATACATTTTATTTTAGACGCCTTTCATGACACCAAAGGACACCATACGGTTTGTTAAAAATGCTAAGAGGCAACAGAGCATGATAAAAACACAAAGTAAGACAGAATACTACTCAAGTACATGAGTCCATTATTTACATTCAACCACGTACTATGACCCCCTTTTCAGTCAGGACACCGAGCAGAGACATCTAACTGTTATGTGTGTCTGTCTTTTTGGTTTTTGATTGAAAGAGCCAGAGCAAATATGAAATATAATCCAGTGTCTCATTGAGATATTTCTCACAGTAACCTGGTCCGACGTGTTCCGTTTTATAAATCCATCCATGTGCGATGCAGCTGTTCCTAAAAGCTCTGAAGGATCTGACCTTTTCATCTGAGGCTTTGGTTCAGTTTCAGACCATCAGTTCTGGGGTTTTTTGGGCAAATTTTCTCCATTTATTCTGGGGTTTCTTGGGTGTAACGGTGGAGTCAAATAAGAAAGGAGCTGGTGCACAAAAAGGCCTGTGGCTTTTAACAAGGGATGATGTATCATTAGAGGCAGAAATAAAATGTATAAAAAGTTATTTAAAAAAATCTGAATACTTGAAAATGGGACTTTGAAGTTGCCCCATTTAAAGAAATAAAAATAAATAAACAGTATTTAAATTAAGATATGAAGTTAATGTTAAAATGCACACATTTTATTCAATATATTATGTTACATTACAATATATATAGTAGTGTATTAAGATATTTTTGCAAATGAAGGAAATATGTTGATAATAGCTATATCATCATTAGATTCAAACTCAAACTATAACACTAATTCATTCCAGTTAAATAAAGTTGGTTACTGTTGAAAGTCTTCTTGTATTTCCCTCCTGTGAGGACAGCAGGTCTGAATGCTGTAATCTGTATGTAATCACTGTAATGCTCTTAATACAACTTTAGCCACTGTGAGTGTGAGATGTGCCTCTCCTCGCGCCAAACACTCCCCATGCTGACCACAGCGGGGGGCCAAACTGCAGCTGGGGCCTCCAATGCTCCTCTGATGCCTTCAGGGACCGCTCGTAAACCGCAGCTTCGAAAGTTGGAAGCCTCAGAAGTGATTTTATTCCTTGGCAAGAAGGTTTTTAAGCCACGTGAATCATTATATTCTGGTTTTATGTTTCAGTATTTGTAAAAAACTGTGACTGAAATAATATTGCCTTTATTTAACTTTTTTTTATGGTTATTTAATTTTTTTTTTTTTAAGAAGGAGCAGGTCAAATAAGATTCGCCCTGCTCCTTTCCACACTGCGCTAAAAAAAAAATCAGTATACGTGTATATGCTTTGGAAAGTGTACATGTTTTGTTTTAAAATAACTGCCATGTGTGGAATAAACAAACAAATAAATACATATATTATGCTTTTCTTATTGTTTAACTTGCATACATCCAGGGCCGTCCCTCCCTACAGGCCGATCATGCAGACGTCGTGGGGCCTCACCTTGAGGGGGCTTCATCTTGCAGAGGGTGCCTCAACTGAGCCGAAAATGCGGCGTTCCTATGCACTTATGCACTTATGCGGCACAATTAGTGTGGCGCGGCACGGTTTCGCCGCTGCGAGGCTCCACTTTTTATTTTGTATTTTGTATTTTGTAATGTCCTGCCTTTTAACAGTAACTTCATAATTTTGATTGTTGGCTGCTCATTTAATAACTATTAATTTGACTAGTTTGTTGTCTGCTCTTGTGCTTTAGTGAATACTCAAGAAGGCTACAATCGCATGAGTGTGAGGGTATTAAAATAAATTGGTCAGTAAGTCAGAGATGTGCAACTATATTTAACTTTTTGTTACAATTTTTTTTTTAAATAAATGATTATGGGAAGTGCCCTTGTTCTCACTTGAGCTCCCGCCCCCCAAAATGTCTGTGCACGTCCCTGTGGAGGAGCTACACTGTAGCTTTGTGCATATGACAATCTTGAATCACCTGGCTGCTATATCTCAAAACTGTTAGAGGTACTGGATGTGTATCTTCTAAATTATGTAATTTATACTTTTCTCTTTAACGTTTTTATGTATCCTTCTTAATTAGTATACATCTATAGTTATCTTTGGCTCTTTACTTTCTGTAACAGATGAACATTTCCCCTCTGTGGGACGAATATAGGTATTGTGGTTTTCTTGCCCTTTGTCATTCATGTTGGACGTTCGTCTCTGATTTCCCAACATTTCCCGAGCGCACCTGAACGCAGCACATGACCGAGCACAGAGGGAGAGAGAGAGGGATTGGGAGCGAGAGAGGGAAGGAGTGAGGGAAGCTAAACAGGTGGTCTGAAAAAACATAGAAAACAATGTCGTCCGGCGGGGAGAAGCGGAAAGACCTTTAGTCCTCGCTTCTCTGAAGGAATACAGCCGAACCGACACTAAACAAACCCATGCTCCTTTTTTATTTCCACTCGGATTCCTCCTTCTCCTCCTCCTCGTTCTCCTCTTCTCGGTTTTACTCCCAAGATCTCGGATATTAAAGCCATGAAAGTCACGGTGTGTTTTGGAAGGACCCGGGTGGTGGTGCCGTGTGGAGATGGGAATATTAAAGTGCACACACTCATTCAGCAGGCTGTCATGAGATACAAGAAGGCCATCGCTAAGGTAAGAAATGGTACTTTGTTTCCGTTGCTGCTTTTGTTTTCCTGGAAACGATGTTGCTACGCTCTGCACGCGCACTCAATATGGCGCTAACTTGGAAATAAATACAAACAAGAGGGAAACGGGTTGCCCGTTTCTGTTGTTCTATGCACTTCTGTTCAGTTTTGGAGCACATATTCTCTGAATGATGGTGTAATTCGCTCGGTTTTCCAAGAAAAGCGCACCGCCATTGTGGTCCTTGTGTTTGTAAACCCACAAAAGTTCCTCTGGGATTCTAACTGTGGTATGAACAAAGTGTTTCACGGTTTGTTGCAGCTTAAAAGCATTCAAAAGGATGTTTTAACACAGATATGCATGCTTGTAGACTTAGTTGTAAGACTGGAGTTCATGCCTCTGAAAGTTGCCAGGAGAGATTAGCCTACTAGCAAGTTAGCCTGCAAAAGTAGGGCTGCAGTGATGCGTTCAGGGGTCGGTCCAGAGCTTTGGAGCCTGATTAAAAAACAGGAAAGTCCCATGAGCTTTAGTATCCTCTTTGCTCCTACGTGTCTATGAAGAAATACTTTTAAAATGACTCTTTGTTTGACTTGTAATGAGCCAATTATAGTGGAAGAGAGGGTTAGCTGCAAGAAAAAGCATGTGAGTTAATTTAATCAATGATGCTTCACATGCAAGAGGATCAAAAGCAAGAAGAAAGGCAATTTTCACAAGTTGTTCTGCAATATAGTTTGAATTCAAAAGCATCATTTTCCAAAGAAGAAGCTGGCGAAAAGTTGAATGGCTGCCTGAGGCCCTGCAGGATGGGGAGGGAAACTGCTCCAGCTGACTGGTGGAGGCATGGAGCTGACACATACATCCTGGAGATAAAAGCCAACCTAAGAAAACTTGCAGCATGGTGTCAGGGTAGCATCAGATAACCTTTGAACCAGGGTGGTGCTTTTATGTGCAATGCTCCCTGGGAAGATCAGATGAGATTTGACTGGGGGGGGGCACAGGAGCAACATGAACATTTGTCTATTTTTTTCACAAAACCTAGAAATATTTGCTTTTTCACCCATAATTCAATTGAAATGACACATTTGCGGGCATCTAAATAACTATATCTTACTCAGATTGCTACCGAATGATGCATGTTCAATCATTTGGCTCAAAGTCACTGAGTTATCTTAGTTTACATAATTCATCTCCACATTCAGACTGTATTATTAATAGGAAACTTGGATTACAGGAAAGATTCCCAGTTATTCAATACAATACATTTAGTTTGTCATCCAGCCTTCGTTTAGGGTGCAAATATGTTAGGCAGCAAGTTAAAACTGATCAATAATTCACGCGTAGCCCTCCCATGTGCAAACTTTAAGGCATTTTGCTGTAATGATATTGACCTAGAAGTCATACTGTATCCTCCTCTCCTTCTGAATAATTCAGCGTGAGCAGAAAGAAGGAGTGTGTTACTGAGAAGCAGGTGAAGAGATGAACCCTGCTGAACTTCTCGCTCCAGCAGAAGAAACTAACTCTTATGTGACTTCATGCAAATTGGGATTTTACTGGTGTGTCCTCATAGCTGTCTGAGAAAAGCCAAGGCGTGTAAACCTTCCCTTGAAAGAGTCGAACGTTGCTGACAATGGCAATTTGTTCTTGTATTGCCCAGTTCAGCAGAGGGGTTTGTAAATAAAGGATTTTAAGAAGTCAGTTGGCTAGAAGCTCAGATTGCTGTTGTATCTGGTTTTGGGGTAAAGTGTGCAGGATTGAGTCTTCAAACCTGAAAAAAGTTAGCATTTAAGCACTTTAGTTAGCCTGAAATAAGGTATTTGGTTGATACAAGCTTACAAGATTTGAACATTTTGTTCTACGACATAAAATACGTCAGTAAATATCCCACTGGTGAATGTCTGAAGCTTTAACACTTCTTAAAACAGAAATTGCTAACAAGGGACTAAATTAGACTGAGCTTATCACGCTAACATTAGCCACCTTTAGCTTAGCGGTGGAGATGTGAAGTAATTCAACGGTGCTGTAGTTCCTTTTATAGCGTAATGTTAGCTAAATACAAGTAGTGTTAATATGTGGAGATTATCCTGCTGAACTAAACTAAATATCATTAATGTGTGTTTGCGACAGGTCTTATTTGCTGCAATTTTCGAAAATCAAATGCAAAAATCCCTTGCGATGCTAACATCCAGGTTTACAAAAGCCCGTAATCACTGCACCACTCTCTAATCAGAATGTAGGAGAAGACTCAACCCTAACGTGCTGCTGTTTATTGCTCAGGGTGTGCCTGTGTTCTGTAATGCGGCCACATATTCAATTCTCATTCTGTCTTATAGTAGCTTTGATCAAACAATTCAAACCAAATGTAAAAAACCCACATTTTCTCATGAACTTCTCACCCACAACACAACTTTCTGCCTCACAATACGACATCCTCGGCGTGTAATCGCATCAGATCTGCGTTTATTGCTGTACTCCCACGCTGCCTATATTTCATCAGGCCGAGGTCGGGCATTTTCGTGTCTCACGTCTAGCGGGTGTCTCAGAAAGCATTGCGGTCACAGATGTTGTGTCGAAGGTCACAGCCTTTTTATGTTCAGCCCGCCTTAATAAGAAGCCTAAATTAAAGTTTGCTTTCCTGCTGTAGTATTTGTATGAACCTTGTAACTTCCCCTGTCATTACAGAGGAATGCTTCCTGCACAAAAAGAAAAACTGGTCCACTTCTGAAGGCGTTTAGACATCTCATAACTGAAATTAGACAGACACTAGGATGCGCCACTGTTTGTACAAAACTCTCATGAAGAAACTGGACTTGACAGGGATTGTTTTTTCCCTTCTTCAAAGTCTCTTGAGAAGTCAAACGGTGTCTGATTATCCTCCGCTCGTCTTGTTCCTTCCACAGATCATAGGGTGGATTCTCACCCATTTGGCTAAGTGTGGCAAGCGTTTAAAATGACAGCCTTGACTGGAAAGCCGTCTGGTGGTTTATTGCTCCAAACCCACAACCCACCTAAGCATCGGCATGTCAGAAGAACCATGAGACATGTGTCTTTTCTGACCGACTGTTCCTAATGCTCAGACAGCTCCAGGGGGATATCAGGTGTCTGCATTGTTGTGTCCACACCGCACATTTCCATTCATAGCTTCACACTGCTGGAGTTTCCTCCTGAGTAGTCTGGGCTATTGTGTACATATTTTAGGCAGACAGAGTTGACATGACTTTGACCTGGTGCAGATCATAGAAGCAGGATTTTTCTGTTGGTCTGGTTTACTAAGTGGTTTTCATCAGAAACTTGGACTCAGATAAAGGGCTATGTTGTTCCTTTTGGCTTACAATTTCAGTGTTGGTGAACCCAATAGGGATTGACTGTCAATATTTCCATTATTTGGTTGTTTTGATATCAGAGAATGTCCAGTATGAGTGAGAAATGCCCGCCAAAGATGTCCAAGGGCCAAAATTAATCCAAGACACACTTTCGGGGGCCAGCTGCTGCTTCTCTGTTGGACTCCGGTACTGCACATTACTCACGAGACGTTGTAAAAAAATAAAATGAGGGGGGTGGGGGGGGAACGCACTAACCACTCCGCCAACGCCACAGTCACCCCCGCCGTGCGGGCCGGATGAGAATGTCTGGCGGGCCGGGTGTGGCCCGCGGGCCGCCAGTTGATGGTCACTGCCCTAGATGGTGTCTTCAAAATTGAATTTCTTTCCGACCAACTGTCCAAAATCCAAACATATTCAATTTAGTCTTGCATTAACAAAGAAAAGCATCCTATTCTCACATTTAATAGCAGAAAAGATGAAACTGTGGCATTTTTCAATCCATAATGATATAATGATATCTTATTATTATTCCAGCTCTTTTTATACACTGATGTTTCAAGAGGATGAAAACATTCTCTAAATGATTTTGATAATGACATATGCTTACTGTTCCAACAGCAGACACGAAGAGACATTAATCCTATATCAAATTTGACAGGTCGAATAAATAATAATCAATCATCCAAAAATAACCAACCTTAATGGGGATTGCGCTCAGAAAAATCATCAAATTTGAGTCAATCTTGTCCTAATGTCATTGCTCTGTGCTCCAGATATTACTCAATTCATTGCTTAAATCACTTATTAATTAGTGTGCAGAAGCCTCTGATGGTGGAGCGCAGTGTTATTTTAACAGCTGTTTTTGATTTAGTCTTAGTCTTTAGACGAAAATGGTTATTAGTTTTAGTCACATTTTAGTCATTCCTATCCTTCGTAGTTTTAGTCAACTTTAAGTGATGTTCACACACACACGCACGCACACACACATCTAAGTCGATGTAAAATTACATTTCAGTCAAATGTTGTCTATATAGCTCTCTGACACGCTCCGTCCCCGCCAGATTCTCTGTGTCCCGCTGGCCAGCATGGTCTGTTAGGCACCCCCGCACACAGAGAGACACAAAGGGAGATCGGCTCTTCTGGAAGTGACAGAGAGCCGGAAATATGATACTTGCAAGTTAGAAACGCACAGGACCCTGCATTTTGACAGACAGACACGAGACACTTTACGGGGGAAAAATACGCTGCATTTTGAAATGTCCGAAAGTTCACCATTAACACCTTAGTCCCCCCCCCCGTCTCGTCAACGAAAACAACATATACATTCTATCATAGTTTTCGTATCAAGAATCTATTTTTAGTCGTCATCTCTCGTCTTAGTCATGTAAAAAAGGTCGTTGGCGAATAGTTTTACGTTGACGAAATTAAAACACTGGTGGAGCGGGCCTGGGATAAGGCAGTCCTGCATGTGAAGTTAACCTGCTGCCGTCAGGAATACAGATCAACACGTTCGCCACCAGAGATGTGGCCACATCTTCAAAGGAAAGCTTCAAATTGGCCCTATTTTGTCTAAAAGAAGCAACATAATTGCACTTGTTAAAATGACATTGGAGTTTATGATCATGATGTACAGGTCACAGCTCAAGAGAGCACAAAGTGTGAAAGGCCAAAGGTGTCCGAGCGTTCACACTCAGACGTTGGCTCTCGTTGTAACTCAAACCCCTTCCTCTACTCCTGCAGTTGTTTGTGCCGATCTGTAGCTTGTGGTAAAGGATTCAAGTTTCAAGACTTTTATTGTCATTTGTACATAGCTAAGCAGTGTAGATGTGTACAATGAAAATCTGAGGTCACAAGGCTTCCTCCACAGTGGCAACATATATAACAGACAAAAAAGTAATACAAATGGAATAGAACTAGCCTCAAGGAGAGTCTATAGTACAATTAATTGGAATATGATATGCCATGTGTTGACCACAGTTGTCAAGAAAACATTTTAGTGCCCATTTTTTGATGGATGCATGGTAGACTGACAATGCACTTGGTGACCGGACATTATGCAATGCTCTATAATGAGTTAAACAATATTTAACGGACCACAAATAAGTAAAGAAAAGAACTGCTTGTTGAGCTAGCGTGTTATTAGCTTCTTTTTCGTCATGTTTGTTTGATAACCATCTAAAAATAGCACACATGTGTTTTATCATAGCTGACTTCCAAGGAGTTCACCTAATTGTCCTAGATGTTTACATTACGTCATCTAGACTGTAATTTCTTTTCATCCCTGCATTGGTCACAGCGTATTTGTACCAGGCATGTTTTAATAACTCTGCATTGTTTATTTGTACCAAAGTTGGTTAAGCGCAGTATTGTCCACGACAAATAAATCAAT